TTGGGTGAAGTTCACGTCCAAGGGATCTGCAMGTATCCAACACTTGTGGGCTCTTGTGTCTCTTGTTCTTTTTCTGCTTCTGTTCACTGTTCCTGCCCGTTTGTCACTGTTATTAACATCAGCTGTCACATMAAATGTCAGCTCTTCACTGGTGTAAAGAAGTATTTAACAGCTTGAACTCAGCATTTGCTGTTGTTAACTCTTCCTYCTCGCTGAGAATGGCCCAGTGCTCTCTTGGTCTTCTCCTCCTGATGGGTTTAACATGAAGTGCTCTGCTCACCCTGAGGCACCAGGATCCAGGGCCAGCCAGGCTCAGTCTGGGCACTGAACTCTTCCTTYGGAGACAACAGTGGGCAAGCCCTTGACATCTGTCACTTCCTTCCCCTCTTAAAACCAGAGACTGGACCTCACAGGCATCCCTGTGGAGGGAGGAGGGAGGTGAAGGAGCTGATAACTCCTGAGTGAGCTGAGGGTGCTGGAGAAGCAGTTGAGGGAGCACTTGTAGGAGCAGCAGGTCTGAACTGCCAGGAAAAGGAGTCCCAGGCATGTTCTGTTGAGTTCTGTGCTCTGGGATTTGTTCCTGAGGGTCTTGGGACAGGAGGTGTTGGAATGAGTGAACCAAAGGCTGTGCTGCAGTTGAAATCATGGCATCATTTAGGCTGGAAAAGACCCTTTAAGATCTCTTTCTCTTGAGAGAAAGATTTCACACTCCATGATGWTCTAAACAGGYTGGACATGATGCAGAAAACTTMCAGAATCTTCTGACAGGGGCCATTTTATGGTTTTCCCCCACCACTAAAAAACTGAACCTAGCAAAACCACCACAAAAGATCTTAAGAGCTTGGGAGCTGGCTGCTGTCATGGGGTGGCTGCCCTCAGTCCTCGTGGAAAGGTTCTTGCAACCAGGAGATGTTCTTGAGGGCCAGAAGAAAGCAAGTGTCACTCCCACCTCCGAGAAGGGCAGGAAGAGCCAGGAGCTGCAGGCCTGTCCACCTCAGGCTCTGGGAAGGTGATGGAGCAGCTCCTTGTGGGGACAGATGAATGGTGAGGAGGTGGCCGTGGGTGCTGAGCAGTGGAATTTGTGTTGAACCCTTCCTGCCATGGGCTGAGGGCACAGTGTGGGTGTTGATCTGCAGGGCATTGAGGCTCCCAGCCTCACAGAGGGTCTGATGGGAGCCTTTCCAGCAGGACTTTGGGATGGCAAACGGGTTCAGCTGCAGGTTCAGAGCTGGATCAGCAGCACAAAGCCCATGTGAACATCCTGGCTGTGCTCAGCAATCCCCCACCTCCCCAGAACCTGCCTCTGGAATTAGAGATGTTTMTGCTGCTCTGTTATGAGACATTCACTCTTTGCTCCTGTGCTGACTTCCCTCAGTGCTTGGCTTTGTTTGTTGATGCTCTTACCCAAATCCCTTCTCCTGAGTGGCCTGGTTCTGTTTTTGTAGCCAAAGGCGTTCTGTTGGAAGCGTCTCTTGAGCTGATTTATTTTCCTTTCTAGCACATTCCCTCAGAAATGGATAAATGCCCCTGTCATAAATCTCATTATTGCCTCCTGATGGATGTGTGCTCAGAGCCCACGGGATGYGGTGAGGAATCCGTTTCCAAAAGTCAATGAAGAGCTTTTGTGGTGGTTTTGCTAGGTTCAGTTTTTTAGTGGTGGGGGAAAACCCACCACCCATAAAATGACTCCTGTGAGAAGATTCTGGAAGTCTTCTGCATCATGTCCAGCCTGTTTAGACCATCATGGAGTGTGAGGTCTTTCTCTCAATCCGTTATCTTATCTAAAAGCCATAAATTTTTGGGTTAATTKGGGTTTTGCTCTCCCCTCTGCCTCTCTTGGGGGTGAGGGGGAAGTGTTGTGGGTGCCTTGGCGTTCAGCCAGGACTCAAACCATGACAACTTTACTTTGTTTTCTCTTTCCAGTGGCAAAGGATTTGATAAATCAAAACTCTGGCAATTGAGAAAATAAAAATTCTGCCTCAGATGTGGCCCTTTCCCTGTCCCAGATCTGAATTCAAAGCAGAACCCAATTCCTTCAGTCTCTCTCTGTGTTGGAGCATCAATCCCACAGGAAGATTAATGGGATTAGCTGGAGTAACTCTGGCTTTAGAGAATGAGAGGAGAGGGAAATTCCACCCAGCTCTACTTTTGGGGAAATTTTGCCTGGGAACCCTGAACTTCCTGTAACCTGCCCCGAGATGAATTGCAGAGATAAAMATCTCCATGCTGGGCTGGGGCTTCACCATCCACACTGGTTCCTGCTGCTGCATCCCAGTGATCCAATCACACCAGAATGCTTTGATTTTAATTAAAAGGGGAATTACACTCCCGAGTAGAAAATCCCTGTTATACTGAATCAGTACTTCTGATCTCTSCAATAAATTGAAGAGAGAGATTTGAACAAATAAACTTTCTCTTGTCTTTGGGCAGGTGATGTTCTGGGTTAAAACAGAGTTTGGCTTCCCTTGGTAACACCAGTAACTCTCCCATTCTCACCAGTTTTTATGAATTTTCCCTCAATTTTTTTCCCCAATACTCGTTTGTTTGAGTCCTGCTGATGTCCCTCTTCAGCCTCTGACTGTCATTGARTGGCATAATTTAAGGATCAGGTTACAGCAGTGACCTTTGCTTTGGAGCCCTCATGATGAACTGAACTGGTTGGAGATGTCTGCACTGCTGTAATTTGTGTTTGGAAAGATTCTCATAATGGTATTGACATTTGGGCCACGTTGGTGAAATCAGCAGCGGGGAGATAAACTTAATCAAAATTCCTGCGTGGTGCGGAGGATCCCGYGGTGGTTTGAGAGGTGACATTTGTGATTTGTCATCACCTGTCTATTTTAATCAAGCCCTGCTTGTGCTTAAAACTTTKATTTTAGCCAGGTGAACGTGGCTGTGAAGGGAAACATCTGCTGGAGTCACTTGTGGCTGTTTTATTGGGGGAGGAACTGGTTGCTTTGGGGTCAGGAATGTTCTGACTYGRCCCCTGCWCTCRGTGTTGCCCATTCAGTGGCACSCAAGTCTTGCAGCCCCTGGTCAGYRATGTCCTCAGGGTTCAKGGAGGGGGAGTTTGGGTATTGTCAAATTTGGGAATATTGTCCCAATTTTGGGAATTGTCTCAGGGAATTTCTCTRAGGAAGACTCCAGGACTCASGGARTGGCTGGAGCTGTGTCAGGGGAATTTGGGATGGAGATCAGGGAACTCTGTTCCCTCAGAGGGTGCTGGGCACAGCCCACAAGCTGTTTATCCACAATTCCATGAGTCCTTCAGGGAAATTCCTCTTGTTCACACCCAGGAGCTGTGAGCACATCTGGGATTCGGGTACATGGGATGTGTCCAGCCTCCCCTTGCAGCAGTTGTGTCCTCTTTCCCTACAGCAGAGAATTAAAATTCTCACACACGGTGTCCAAAGTCCCATTATTTGAACAAATTAGAATATCTCAGGTCTTTCTTTACAGGACAAGGATTTTGGACTGATGGTTSTGGTGGTTCTTGCAAGTTTTTTTCAGTTTTCTTACTGTTTATTCCATGAACTTACAGCCAGAACTGGATGTGGGATGTGGGACTGACCAATGCCCAGTGCAGGGGTAAAAAGCCTGGTGTTATCACATTTTTTTTTCAAGAATCAGATGAGTGTGTGTGACCTGATTCTGCCTTGCKTGGTGTTCAGGGTGTAAAACTGAGCATCTGCAGCCCCTCTGTCCTTGGGGATGAGCAGCACCCCTGGGACCCCCTCCTGGGGAGAATTTTGTTATTCCCACCTTTCCCAAGGGATCTGTGTGCCGTGTGCTCCTGCCCAGGAGTCACCATAGTGTGGCTGATGASTGAGAGTGCTCGTGCTGTTCCAGGGGCAGTTTTTCCTTGCAATGACACCGATCCAATCTGTATTTGAATTTCTGTGACCGAGGCACTGAGCAGAGCTCAGGCCCATCCCCACCATCTCCCTGGAGCAGCAGTGTCGCTGTTGGGGCGAGCACAACGCACACACACACACACAGAGTACCTCATAAAGGCCAAAAAGCCAGAAATAAGATGTGTTTATTCCAAGAATCAGTCTCATTTATAACTTTTGCATGTTATCAATTGTGTTACACATTYATTGGCCACTAAACTACTACAATAGGTTCATTGGCTGTTATTTAACTACAACACATCACTATTGGTCACCTACAGCACAAGCATCCAAGCATTCAGAAAAACACCAGGTGCAGCCTTGGTGCTGTTTTTCTCCTTCTACTGTTTAAATTTCTTACTTCTGTTGATACCACATTCTCAAAGGTAGAAATACCAGCTCCATCACTTGTTTCCTAGGGTTAT